TCAAAAAAGTATTAAAAAGAGAATAGAAACTAAAGATCAGGAAGCATTACTTGACGATCTTCATATTGACTCTTTTGTTAAAATACTTATTAAATACCATACTACACAATTAAATAATATTCTTTTGAAACAAAAAGAAACAATCACTAACGATCTTTTAATATGTCAATTTGTTACTAAATGTAATGTAATAATCCAAACACTTCCAATTACACCAGAATTCTTTATGTGTGATGAGATGAATCAAAAGTTATTTGAATTTTTTCAATGATGTTATTTAGAAAATTAATTGTGTTATTTTAAATTATAATTTTAAGAAAAATAATAATAAAAATATAAGAAAAAAATAGTAAAAATATAAAAAAGTAAAATCCCGAAAAAATAGGTAAAAAAAGAAGAAAAGATAAACCCTGATTTTTTAATAAGAACTGAACATCAAAAAAAGAAACAGTCCACTTATGCAAATAATTGTTAAGAGACTTTCTGGTAAAGTAGAAGCTGTTACTGTTTCTGAGAACGAAACTGCTGGTATGCTTATGAATAGACTTAGCTGTGGTAAACTCCTTGCAGGATGTAGAATTCTTGGATGTAATGAAATTATTGTTGACTCAACACTCTTCGAAATGGGTGGACTTGAAGGAGGTAAAAACAAGAAATCAAAGAAGAAGGATACCTCAAAACCAAAACACAAGAAACATGTTAATAAGAAAGTCAAACTCGCATGTTTAACTCATTATAATGTTACTAGTGCTGGTAAAGTTGAAAGATTAAGAAAATGCTGTGCTAATAAGAAATGTGGAGTAGCTTGTTTCCTTGCTCAACACAAAGACAGACTTACTTGTGGTAAATGTCATACTCATATTCCAAAGACCAATTGAGTAACTTGATGATTTACTTTTTTTTTTAAATTTTTAATAATAAATAAATAATAATAATCTTTTTCTTTATTTCTTTAAAAAGTATATTAATTTATTTTACTTTTTTATATAAAAAAACCCTTTTTCTTTTTAAAAATTAATATTTTTAATTGGTTTATGTTTTAGTTTGTTCTTTGAGAAAATAAGAAAGTATGGAAAAAGGAT